GCAGATTCAGCCTGCGGTAACGTACAAAGGCAACCAACGGTAATTTTCTAATGTTGGCAAGTGTTAATATTTACGAATACTGCATCATCTAAAAGATCCCAACTCAACGGGAAGGCATTCGAAGAAGAAAGATCACAGTGAACAAAGGCAACGCAACCTCCACCTTTAGAAGTACTGCCGTCCTTACGATACAAATCGCAATTACCCAACGTAAGCCTAAGGTTTGAAGCATCTGACTTGCACCAAGTTTCAGTGGTTGAAAGGCAGCATGGTTTGATCAAGTAAGCTAGAGATTTCAGGTAATTTGGCCCATTCCAAGTGAACGTGAGTTAAACGGAAGAACAGAGAATTCTGATGGGGCTACAAATAGGCTCAGGTCATTGACAAGGTCAGACCATGGTCATCATTCGAGTTAACTAGATGTGGGGTGGGAAATATCGGGGTACAGGCAAGTTTCTTGGCGTTGCATGCTGGACTACCCATTGTCGCCTCGGACGATGACCGATCATTTACTGGCCCGGGGGTGGGAGGGTGCCACTTCAGTATTTGTGCCACTGAATTGTATGCTGGCTATAGCTGACAGCAGCTGACTCGAGTATGTCGTCATCTGCACGGCTGGAGGCGCTACTATCTTGTGGAGCCCGAAAAAAGATGGATTTCCCGGGGGTTTCAGAGCGTAGATTCTCCATAGAACGCGGGGTAGGTGTTACTTACACTAGCTTTTATGTCATGGCCAGGGATAGCATATTTCCAACCGCTTTTGAGATTTCCAGAATATCGGACCTAACTTGATCCAGATCGCTGTAGACGTCAATCACAGGATCGGGTAGCTTAAGTGACAGACCGCAATCGTCGGTGGAAGTTTTAACTTTAGGCAATAAATCGGATAATTTTGGCCTTTTCGCGCTCACACTTTTATTTCTACGGAGGTCACTGACACTTGTTTTCATCCTCAGAAAAGCAAGCAAGAAGTGCTAAAAATATAGGTAATGTTAAACAAATAACTAACCAGTTGAATAATCGCTGATATTAAATATCATTTAGCCTCAACAGAGTCGCGAGTTTGGCAATAGCAATAACTTTTCTTTCGTGCTTTTAAGAATTGTTCGATAAGTGGATGACACTGTACAACTTTCCGCTACCTTGAAGCCCAGATAGATCTAGGTAACTTCAACGTTTGAAAGGTAGGTTCAGCGCTTCGTTATTTTGCCTGCAGTCTGAGATTAGCAGAACTTGGAGACAGGTATGCACACCCTCAAGAGATTCAGCGTTGTTCTAGGAGGTGGATAGCAACCAGGTGCAACATGATAGAACAAAATCTCCTTGAACACGAGGGAAACGAGGGGCCACGAGTGTGGAGAAGACAGAGGTGGTGAAGATACCCAACCAGCAAGAACAAGCGCCAGTCATCATCAACGGGAGAAAGCCAAACAAAGTTGTTTCCATCACCTATCTAGGCAGGGAAGCATTGCCTCGACAACAGGAAGCGGTGGCGGCACAGACGAAGACGCCAAAACCAGGATGGGAAGGATGGCAAGATGGCCTTCAGTTATCTGAAATCGGTGTCGAGGTGTACTGCACTCCGCTTAGCGTGAGGAACAAGACCCGGATTTTCAACACTAATTCAGTCAGGTAAGTCAATGCTTCTGTGTGGTGGTTGACAGACTTGGTGCGTTACGAAAAGCATCTGTAACAAACTACAGACACACATCAACAGCTTCCGCCTACGCTCACTCAATACTGAAGATCAAGTGGCCAGAATGAATGAGCCACATGGAGCTGTGGCTGGGAACGAATCAACCAAGAACCCATCGCCCAACAAATATGCGGGAGAAAGTGCAGATGGATTGGATTGGACAAACTGAGAAGACCGTTTGAGGACATCACGCGCCAGACCGTCGAGTGGAATCCAAATGGGAAACGACGGGTTGGGCGCCCGAGGGTGACATGGAGGTGATGGTGTGAACACGAAATGAAAGCTTGTGGGAAGTCGTGGGGTCAGGTTGAAAAGACTGCAGACAAGAGAGTGAAATGGTGACGTGGTACTGAAGATTTTTGTTGCACCAGGAACCCATGGGGCGAATAACAGTAATAATAACCTGCCGCTGCACCGTTTGGGGATCAGATGTTACAGGCAATCAGCTACTCCCTTAAACCGGGGCATACGCATGCCAATTCTAGAAGACTTCAACCTACCAAAGGTCTACTTTGCGAACTGAATGTTCGGTGGGAGTCATGGTTTCGTCGAGGCCCAATTCTTCAGTCTGCTTGAGCAACTGGGACCAGGTGGTGTGGGTGGAAACTCAAATCCCATCCTGCCTAGGCGGCATCTTCACAAATGAAGAGTTCTTGATTCACAGACTAGCAATCCCTCCTTCGGCTATTCGTGTGGGGCTGGAACAGACAGATTGGGAAATTGGCCATTTGTGAATGAATGTGAACACCCATTGGAGATTCATACTTGACAAAATTGTGCACTCATTCAGTCAGTCTGTTCCACATTCAACGCCAAAGTTCTCCAAGTAGCCCACGGAAATAAGCAACTCCGCTCCCAAAAGACTCAGGTTAAAAGGATGCCACAATAAATGAGTGGTACGAAAACACATACAGGGAGTGCACGCACGTATGAGGACATTAAGAGCTGCTTAGCAACGGCACTAAGTTAGGCTTGCAAACATATTTGTTTCGAACCAGAGAAGCCTGTTCCGCCCACCATATCGTTGCGGCAGACAGAAGCAGGAGTCTGTCAACTGCTGGGTACCATCGGACTGAATAGCATTGATACTGAGGGAGCTGAGCTTCTAGATGATTAGCATTCGTAAATCTCTTTCTTATCGTCCACCCACACAGGAATTTACGAATATGCCATTGACGAAGTAGGACTGTGAGCTACTTACTTGGTCGTTGAGCTGGTATGGCAAGCTGTTACCCTTCACAAAAGACACCTCCACAAGACAAGATAAAATCCATGGGACGATATTGTGAGAAAGCATCACTTTTGGCTGAAACTTTAAGTAAGTCATTCAGGGATTTTCCAAGTCAGAGGAAAGTGCCTCATCTTTAGAAGTTGGGCTATATGCGCTATTCTTTGGGGTAGGTCAATAAGACAGACTGAGGAACTATGAGCCAGCAAGATCCTTTTTTTACCGATGACGTGGAACTTTGGAGGGAAATCAAGAGTGAAGAAGGCTGCGTTTCTCTACTGGAAGATCTAAGTTAATTAGTGGAAATCGGCATTTGTGTCCAAATTCGCGCTTATAAGCGAACACTTAAGTGTTCCGTTTAATTAAACAGGAGTGCTGAAATAATCCTTGGGAATGCGAAAATAATGCGGGTCAATGCATTGGTTAGAAATGCTGGAATAATGCTGAATTATGACAATCTAGCGGAGTTCCAAAGACTACCCGCGTAGTCTACGCACTTGCGGAATAATTTAAACATGCATGCGAACAATTCCCGCCATATAAGGACAAGCTATTTGACTAATCTTTTAAGTAAGCTATTTAAGGATCCTCGAATTCAAGGGAATTATTCGATACTTGGTAGTTGGGCGTGATATGACCAGTTTTCAAAGGTCAGTGAAGCAACCTGAAGAAATACCGATCGGTGACGCTCTTACCCGTACCTTCCATAGTAATGGAATTCCTCATCTATGGTGGAATGAGGGACCACCGTATAGTGATAAACTTTTAAAGCCGCGACAATACAGGGAAAGGCACTCCTGCATCACTCATCTGCTCACTGCAGTAGACGGACTAGTATTGTCAACTGTCGAAATAGGGTTCGTGCCATTTATCTAGACTTGGGTTAGACGTTTGGCTGGTTTAATCACGCCTGCCTTATTGATCAGACCACCACTCATTGACTGGTTATCTTCATATTTACGAGGTTGTTTATTTAGAGTTCCAGCGTGGTTCTCTGTTTTCAGAAACAACGTCCTGTTGGAGTTCCCCAGGGTTTAGCACTAAGGCCTCTTGTTTTTTACATATGCATAAACGGCTAACCTCAGCAAGTTTCTTCTGAAATCCCTTTTACCGATGATATGGAACTATGGAAATAAATCAAAAGTGAGGAAGGGTGTTTCTCTACGGGAGGACTTAACCTCAATAATGGGCTCATACTTAATCATGAGAAGGGCGAAATGTTACGCGTAAAACATAGTGCATGTCATGCATATAGCCACAACGGCATGGAACTTGAAGCGTTGCAGACAGTGAAGGACTTGGTGTTTTAATCCCTCAAAACCCAAAATCCTATGCCAACTGTGACGAAAATGCATTTCGTGAAAGCCTGGTGTTAATAAGCCTTAGGTGGATTTTCCGAGAACTTGATCGTAGATGTTTTCACCAAATTTTCAACAGCTTCATATGGTCCCACCTGGAGTTCGGGACTATCGTCTTCCTTACATCTCTGTAGAAGGACAAGTTAAGCTTAGAACTCATCCGGAGGCGCTTGATCGAATCTGTTCGATGACTCAGGTTTGAAACATAGGAACGACTGGTTGAGGTAAGTCTATATCCCTTGGAATATAGATTAAAAAGAGACTCCATAGTTGCCCGCAGTATCTTGAGCACCTATGGACGCCCACTCCATCGTTTCAAAATCTTAGATGTAGCATCAATCCTAGGTGACACATGTAGATACTAAGCCTTGAACATGGTAAGTTAGATATCAAACACAACTTCCATTACCTAAGAGTTATTAAAGTCTGGAATGCCCTTCCTGAGACAGTGGTCCAGACTACTTCGTCTGAATCTTCTAAACGCTAGCTTGATACTTGCTTGATATGTGGGTGAGAGGTGCTCAGAATTAATTGAATCTTCATATTTCAACAGCCAACCTTTGTTCTTTCATTATTTGTACACTGGGTAAGAACTACAGTAGGTAGTAATCCGTGGATTCTAGAAGCTGAAATCAATCAGGCATAATCTTTTTCCACCCCATGAACAACCATTTGATCCATCATTTTCACTTGTTTGAAATGGCAATTACTTGATTAAGCAAGCCCCGCGTTTTACAGTATGATAGAAACGTGTGAGTTTGTAATAAGGAAAATCTGTAAGCAGTTTAGTCAGTATTTACATATTTATCTCATTAAAATTTTAATTTTATTATAGAGAATCCGCAGGAAGAACTTGAATACCGTTGGGTGAGAAAATCGAAGTAATTATAGATTGCTACTTCCATTAATGCAATTATAATTAATTGCAGTTAGACTGTTGTATCACCTACATATTCATACACATATTTGTCTAAAAACTTATTTTCCAGCTAATATTTGTGTGGAGTTATCTATTGTCTACTAATAGTGAACCCAACAGGTTTCGTTGCACATTAATGTCAATTGACTTCAATTATGTGGTCGCAATTACATCCACACAATTAATTGTGTAGGTTGGGGCCGAAAATGGTGTTTTATATTTCATCAACTGATTTTAAGTGTACTAGAAATCTGCATGCAATACGTTTTTTATGTATACCAGAATTGATGGAGTTTCATGTCAAACAAAGGCTTGAACCGAGGTCTAGAAAGAATCAGTTTATATCACTTTGATGGTATTCTGATGACAACATGCTTTAAACTGTTTTCTTGACACTGAAGGTATTTAAGATAGGGTTTGACCCTTGTATTTTCCAGTGATTTTAAATCGGAACCTGTGTTTGACAGGAGTCAGAGAACACTCAGATGTTTGCTGGTAGTAACCTCCATACCGTTTGTCTAAAAATCTTTACCAACCCAATGACTCACTCACTTTGGATGCAAACTGTATGGTCGGTGGGCTGGCTACGTATACGCATTCTGCTATCCAAAAAATATGCCTTAAACTATAAATAAGGCTTAGGCTTAAATTGAGTATATTCATGAATTATGGGATTCGTCAGAGGTGAGTTGTACAGCGTAAATGTATTCGGAGGGATTTCTTCAGGACCATCTACGACAGATTCATATGATGGTTCAGAGGATTCCCTAATATTCCAAGTAATAGTGAAAAAATAACGCAGAGTATAAAATGAATGCGACGAAAAAGAATATTGAAGTTGATTTAAATGTGATAAGAATGAAAGATCCCTTTCAAACTTACCTGAAACCTCTAAACATATGAAATGTGAGCCCTTGGGTTTGTGTTGAGTCTTCTGAAGAACCCAGAATATGAACGTTAATAGAAAGATTTAGTTTAATGTTAGTTTACTTATTAAATGTTCCACATAGTGAGACGGCATCATTTACTAGATTATGTTTCGAAAAAATTGCCATTCCTAGTGATGTGAATGGAAACAGTAAGTTCTACCCAAAATGTCATTCAGTAAAAAGATGCTGTTTTACCGTGTCTAATATCCAAAAAACAGGCTAACAGGGAATTATACAGTTCGGTAGTGTTCAAATTCTACTTTTCAGTTAAGATTTGATTTGTGAGCGAATCTTTTCTCCTGAACTGCTGTGCTATCATAATTTTCTTGACGATAATTGTCTGTGGGGTTTGTAATACTAGCCGCGGACGAAGAGCTGTCTTTACCCTGAATAATCCACATATGAAGCTGAGATGACACATTCAATTTCAAAAAAGTGGGCATAGTAAACATATGTTAGGAGAACACTTCATACTGATGTCCAGCATTGCTTATTACGAGCAAACGAAATGGCGGACATCTCTTTTGGGTTACTTGTTTCCAGTATTTTCAGTTGTTTCTGCGCAGCAAGATTGGGTTTTTGTAGTACCGCCAACCTCAAGGATAGGTAAAGGTCTCTTGGCCTACTGCATTTATTTCTGATAACTGAAGGTGAACTAATAGTCATTGTTACTTTTCAGGGTGATACTGTTTTCAGCATAACACAGATTTGTTCTAAGCTTCAATATTATCAACAAGATATGTCTATATTATGTGCTCTAGTTAAAAGTTTCACTTTAAAACATTTCTGTGTGAATTAACTTCCAGTTGTAGACGGTTTCCTTTCAGGTTTAGGGCTTTCTGGTTAGGTCTTTGCAGATGAATATCTGTAGAAGGAAAACGCAATTAAAACAAGTCGACAAGAATACTGTTATTGTAGTCTGTCTGGTGCCTAACCGTGGAATCCAGGAGGCACGTTTCCTCCTATTTGAGTGATGTTGTTCCAACTGAGACTCAAACTATAGGAGCTCATCCACCAGCAGGTGTCGAGCATTTCCACGTTGTATAGCAATAAGAAATTACAAGTACCAATAAGCAACAAAATGTGGCTACTTCAAATGTGAAACGCTAGTGTGAGATCTGTGGTCATTGTAAACCAACTGAGGCGGCTTCTGCGATCTTCGTGAAAGAGACTTAAAAGCTTTGTGACAGTAGTGATTTCTTTTGTCAACGTTTATTATCAACGTTTTATTTTTGCTTCAACTACTGAGTCTCCGTTTTTATCCCATATTATAAATAAGGTTTGCTGTTTCTTGGTTACGAACTCAAAAACATACTTGCATAATTTCTGTAAGACTTTGTAAAGAAATTACCAAACTTGAGAACTGTTATCGTTTGCTAAACTTTCATTTTTTCGTGTGACTTACTCTTAATACCTTACATTGACATCTTATTCAAATTTTAGAAGTGCTCATTCAAGATACATTTTTCCACATTCTATATTTTGAATACGTTAGATTTTCCTTCTTTCGGTGATCTGTGTAGCGCTTCTACCCCTATATGGTGAATTAAGCTTTCAAAAGCCGTATCCAAACATAATAGCCGGCTAAAGTAGCCTAGTGACATAACTACGTGTCATTTTATTGTCAAGTTTACTCTCTCATAGTTCGGAAATAACATGTATTTGTTCTTGGTAGAATTATACTGTCTTTATCCAAGTATGATCACTATATGTCATTGTTTGATATTTGTAATCTCCTCTTTCCATACCAGATCGAGTTGCTCGACCGCTTTGGCATTTGAAGCGATGGGCACTGGATTCGAGTCCAAGTGGGAACAACATTGATCATTAGGGTCTACGTACATCCAGCTGAGGAGTCCCGTAAAGGACAAAACCCGCTCCCTGGATTGTACTGTTAGCGGCCAATCAGACGATAAAATGGTCACCGTATTTTATCTTGTACTGTCAGTATGGGCTTCGACTTATCGAAAACCCAATTGACTGAATACTAATTAATCGGTTGTTTGCAAGTAGTTTCTAAAATTGGAGAACTAGTTGGATTTGACTGATGTGGAATGAGTCAATTTTCATGGCGAAGAATAATTTTCTTGTCGCAAATTACCTGGAAATTCCAGTAAAAAGTGCTTTAAGCAGAAACAAACGCTTTTAAGAAGAGAGGTGTAGCTTTTATTTAGACTATAGACGATATTTTTATTAAACATTCACAAATTACCGAATGTTAGCTCATAACCTAAGCCAAGTAGTGAGAGCCTTAGTATACCAGTTCGATTGTAATTTATATTAGTATTTGTAGTTGGTCATGAGATATCCTTGAAATGATGAATACCAGACTATTCTCCTACCTTAACATCACTGATATGCAGATCATTGGACCCGAAATTTGAGGAAATTGGAAAACGGAAACTATGCCAATTGGGACAGATAAATATTCAGCGCTAAAATTAATTTATACCCATCTCAGGTTTGTTCACTTAATTTCAACTGAGTGTAATCACAGTTAGTTAGCAACGATTTTTGAAGAGAAGGTGCTTGCTTTAACCATAAATGAAGGGTCTATCCTTCGTTCAGATATTGGTGACAGAAGTATAAGTTGTGCTGAATTCACATGGAAAATATTACCTGATATACTGCTTTGAATAGCTTCTTTATGAAATTCGCCTCCCAAGTGATGTAGAAAATGTCAAAAAGAATTTCAGTAAGACACCGAAAACCCTTTTATTTGTTTACTACATCACCAATAACTCTTATCAAATAGATTCTAACTGTTCACAATTGGCGAGTTTTAAAGTCAAATATCTTTACAGGAAAGTGGATCACTTCACTTGCGTTTGAAATATGTGAGAGCTTCTTGAGACAAGAAATATTACTTGAAGTTTCAGTCACAAAATTTCACTTGCTATTAGATAATACAACTCTGTGATTCAATAACGATGGCTATGTATACGATTTTTTAATCAATTGTTAAAGGATTTATTCGTCACTTTCTTCAATAGTTTTTGTTATCGGAATAACAGTTGTGTTACCTAAAGTGTAACTGCCTTAGTATTTTTTGAAAAGCATTTCAGGGTACAGCTGCTTTGAACAAACAAATAGTGACCGAAAGGAGGGGGGGGATAGAAGTTACTGAATAAATTTCCCATTTCAGTCAAGTTTACCAATTAAAAGGTAATATGCTATCTGAAGTTTGATCCCATTATAGGCGTATTTATATGCTTACTTGGAGGTCTCTCTGAATTTGATCTTCTTTGTTTATATGAAGGCCATAACTAGATTGGTTAAAGTAGTGGTAATTGTTTAATACTCACTGAGTTTTGTTCCTGTTACCAGACTGGGTGATTTCGTCAGCATTTAATTTATAAATAAACTGTCCCAGGTGATTTTTTGATACTCAATATCCTGATTGTATTTAAACTGTTGACACACATTACCTTATATCTGTTTCATTGCTTTATTTTGAGTATAGTGGTTACCACTCAATAAGTATGGAGCTTTTAGTTTCGGCAGTCACTTAATAACGGTAATAATAATAATAATAATAATAATAGCTTTATTCTGAAAGCTGTTTCGAGAATATTCTACAGAATTTTCAGCATGTCATATAGTATCAGTTAGACGGAGACAGTATACATTTATACATAGCGAAATGAAATAAGTAGAAACTGCATAAACAAAAGAGATAAGAATATTCCTTCTATCTACAACTTTCTTGAAAATGTACAGTTAGTTTAGGTAGACAATCACATTAGCAATTAGGTTCATAATACGTAAATAGTAACGTGCTCATCATCATCATCATCAATGAGTTTGCTTTCAAAAACATAAGTTGATTAGTTAGTTCATTTCTAATGCCTTTTTCATCACACAAGAGACAAGCTGAACACGGCACTGTAGAGTTTTTAAATATTGTAGTACGTGCATAAAGTCTTATTTACTTGTCTTTCCAGATGACCGACACGCAGGGAGGTTTAAATGAAGAGGACGCTAATCATCTGATAAAATAACTCCTGCCAGACGTTTACATTAGTTAAGATGTTTGTTTATAACAGTTTTAACGAAGAAAGTTTGGAGGTATATGACTATTTCTGCTGACAATCTTCAAAGTTCTAAACAATTTAGCATAGCCTTTTTTCGGCAACCCGGGAAAAAATAAAGGAGGACAGTAGAAGAGAACAGGCAAGATGCAGGGGTTTATAAAACAGAAGAGGAGAGGCTGAGTTATACCGGATATTCTCAGCTTCCTTATATAGAAAGTTAGTAAGATATGAGAAGAGCAGGAAAGGTCCAAAGAAAAACACACTGAGATGAATCACACTTGCGACATTCTGTAATGCACAACTATGAACAGAACATGAATCATGAGAACTAAGCAGTTTACACAGATGATGTTAGCATCTGAAACTGAAGTTTACAGTCTAATATTTTGAAGGATTAAGCATAAGACTATTCACAGAGGACCACTCATGTAACGGTAGGTAGGAAATTATTCAGTTGGGAACAATCTGTTGAAGAGGAGACAGGTATTAAAAATGTCACTTCATCAGCATATTTGACGAAATTGATTCCAATTGAAGATGGTAAGTCAAGCAGAAAGGAGGAGAAAAGACAGAGGGAAAGGATGGCTTCTTGTGAAACGTCAGTCATAGTAAGCAATGAGGGGGGTACCTTCGTTTTGTGAACAGTATGTTGTTTCCATTCAGAGAAGATAGGAATACAGGCAGCTGATTACCCAAGACTGAGTTAACCTTAGACATGAGTGTTTGGTATATTCCTTACGGAAGTGTTTAGAACTGTATTTCAATCATATATGGTGGTGATTTTCAACAGCTGAGTTACAGGTTCGAATTATGCCGCACCTATTCGAGGTGTGAGCAGCTGAGCTGCATCACAGGTTCATATGTCAACAGGTGAAGCTTACAACCTGTGCTTATTTGATGGGTTGCACTTTTTTTCACTGAAGTTTGTAGTCAATTGAACGCATCTCTTCTTTTCTGATCTCTGTTACATATTCTGAAGGCAAAACAAAAGAGATACCTTTAAATCAGTGTTTGGTAAGCTGTAAGCGTACGATGGGACAAAAACCTTGGGGACTGCATTGTTTACGCATAGGTTAGAACAAAAAGGATGTTAGTTGGCTTGGAAGATCGTGAAATTAGACCGTAATTTGTCTGGAAAATGTACTAGGCATGGAGAACCAACTCAAGATTAGTTTAAAAAACAGCTAAGGGTGTCCAGACCAAAACGTGATTGACACTAGTCTATAAGGTCACTGGTTGTTCATATAACCTGCGTGAAAAGTGTGAACTTACTAACCAACTTACATCAGACAGTTAAAACTGACTGTGGGAACTTAACGCGACTTGACACAAACCCATATTGAGTAATGTCGATGTGTTGACGGCTTGTTTTCATCTCAAGCTTAAGTTTATAACCCCATATATCTTTTATTCTCTCTCATGTTTCTTCTCTTTTGTCTTATAGTTCCTTTTTACGCCTACTGACATAGTTGCTTTCATTTTCTTAACCTTTCCTTTTATTGACATCCCAAAAGGTAAGCTTATATATATGACCATTCCACATTATATACAAATAAGGAAATATAAAAATGTTGGTCTCATGCAGATGATGCTAGTCGGCCAATGTCTTAAGCTAGGGGTGCCAAGATCTACCATCTGTTTGTGAAGCTTCTTACCCCTTTTAAGGAATTTCTTGGAGGTGTTTTATTCTTTTTTTTTCTGGGTGATGATTTGATCATGAAGCTATCGTCACCATTTCAGACAGCATGATTACCGTATACTTTAAAAAGAAGTCAGGTATGAAAACTTAAGAACCGTTGTATAAATAGTATGCGTGTCATTTGCTATTATTGTGATTGTTTGGTCAGTGTCTGCATTGATATTCTAACTGACACTCTTGCTGGTATCTACTCTGACCCTGTTGTTCTTTCTTGCGGTTTTCATCATACTATTTATTATTATTATATTATTATTTGTCCCTTGGATTCCTAGTGGAACATAGGGCTTCAGTAGCATGTCTCAATTCCACTCTGTTCTCTGCAATCTTTTCAACCTGGCTCCACGATTGCCCACAAGCTCTCATTTCTTCCTCACACAATCTCCTCCATGTTACCCTCTGCTCAGACGCCCAACTTGCTGTTCCCCATCTGAGTTCCACTTGAGGGTCTGGCCTGGAGCGTGATGTCCCCGAATGGTCTTTCTAGTGTACGCGCAATCCATCCCTATTTCCTCCTGCATATTTGTTGAGTGATGAGTTCTTGGTTGGTTCGTCACCAGCCAGAGTTCCTTATTGCTTATTCTTATTATTCTGGCCATCTGATCTTCAGTAACGAGCCAGCGAAGGCAGTTGTTGATGAATATCTGTAGTTTGTTAGAGATGCTTTTCATAACGCGCCAAGTCTCTGAACCATATAGAGGCACTGACTTGATATTGACGTTGAAAATCCGGAACTGGTTCACGCTTTATGCTGAGTGCGGAAGATCTCCACGCTGGTTTGAGGTTATTGAAGGCCTGTCTTGCTTTTCCGATACGATAGTTGACGTTAACATCAGCATGTTAATTAACTTCTGACTAGGTCTCATATGTCTGGCAAGCCTTTGTAGTTCTTTGGCATTTACTTTTGGGGGTCCAATCACCCATCGAATATGGATTATTTGAAACCGGAGGGTTGGGAGGGTTCGTGAATCAAACTAGTCGTTTTCATGTGGATGTGTTGCTATGATGTTTCCTGCCCAGTAAGGAGACCAATCCCCTAGGTTTTGGGTAATAACGTCAAAGCAGTAGAAGCTTTGCCTGGAACTGGGAGCTGAACCGAAGATTGGAGTAAAACCGTCTCAATTTGCGCAAGTTTAGTTTCATTCAAGATTGCTTGCCGGTAGATTGAAAAGCAGAATCTTAGTTGCAAGATACTTACTCAGAGATCTGAGTCCTGGGGAAATGATAAGATGAATCTGTGCTGTTCTATACACCGGTAGGCAGCTGATTAATACCATGATGTTGAATATCTAGTATATGCCTGTCTGACAGACACATTTGGAGCAATGCTTGTAAATCGTCTACAAGTTCCAGCTTTCTTATTATCCTTTTTGTTTCCTTGTTTTTCAGGATATTTCTTGCAGAAGAAGAAGAAGGAGAATACTACTGGAACGTGAACAGATCAATAATCGAGGAAGGACATTGATGCACCCTCCTCTTGCGATCAAGTATATCACCTTTCCGATATTGTTTAACCATTTCACCATAGCAAAACAATTGCATGAAATGCTTTAATGGATCTTATCTCTTTAGATATCCTACATGAAATCTGTACAGCTAACGGTATCCAATCAGAGAATCTCGCTGTAGACATCTTTCATAATCATATCTTGTATATAATATTTTCTGGTTTTCCTAAATGGATATCTCTACAAAGTTTCCCTTTTCTTACTGAATTGGTTATCATCTCTCAGGAAATTAATCAAATGGCTAAATTAGAAACATGCCCAAATTTAAAAAAATTATGGTTATGTGAGTGTAAAATAATAAAAATTGAAAATCTTAACTCATGTAAACAACTCTGTGAACTTTATCTTTATGAGAATTATATTAAAAAAATTGAAAATTTATCAGGAAATCGTCAACTTGAATGTTTATGGTTGAATGATAATCAAATTAGTGTTATTGAAGGATTGAATGATTTGAAAGCATTAAAACGACTCAATTTATCTGGGAATAATATTCATAACCTTGGTGATGGTTTAAAATATAATTTAAAATTGGAAATATTATCAATTTCAGGTAATCGATTATGGAATCCAAATGAAATATCTATGTTAAGTAAACTATCTTATTTAACATCATTAAATATTAATGAACCAGAATATTTAAAAAATCCTCTCTGTAATAATCCTAATTTATTAATTATTCTTATGTATAAATTACCACAATTATCAAAAATCGATCAAATCAATATTGATTATTTAGATTTAAAAAATGCTATAAAAAGTATAATACAAAATAAAAAAAGTTATTATATGATGAAATGTGAAAATTATCGAACAATTATTAATCAAAAAATTTATAATTTGAAAAAAATTTTAAATAATATACAAATTAAAATTTATGCACATATTAAATTGTTGGATAAAATATTAAAATCTTTAGAGAATGAAGAGAAGAAGAAACAAATGAAAAATAATGAGTTAGGTATTACTTATGAAATAAATAATATTTCATATTTAATAAATGAATTTAATCAAAAAATTATTTATTGGGAGAATATTCTTTATAAATATAAATTGAAATATGATGTTTTATGTAATCGACTTGAGGAACATTTAAATTTTCGATCAAATTTATATAATTTAGAATTAGAAATGTTTGGTTATTTAGAAATTCAAGAAGGTTGTATAAATGATGATTGGTTTATTGATTGTAGTCAATTAATTATTTCAAGATTATGTTGTCATAATGATATTGAGTCAATAATAAGCGGAATTCGTATTTTATATATCTATAAAATCAATAATAAATTATTTCATTATTTAGATAATAATGAATTAAATAAGTCATTAAATAATCAATTAACATTTTTTAACTATCTGTTTATGATACGTCCTAAAGAATTGGATGAAATAAAAACATATATTGACATTATACGTATCGGGTTTCATAACAGTAATCAATATAAACTGAGTAATAGTATAAATATGGCGGATAGTTTAAATTTGCAAAGATTATGTCATGATGCCTATGAACCAAATTTTAATCGACATAATTATATTGCTCGTTTATTGGTAGTCAAAGTGTGTGCTCCAAGAAATCATAACAACCACAATAATAATGATAGCGATAGTGAAGGAAGTATAAACTCTGAAGTGAATTTAAACAATTCAGCTACGCTACATAAAACTACACGAAGATGTTGTTGCCCTACCCCAATAATAAATTCTATTCCATTACAAAATGAATTAGTTTATCCTGAATTTTTAGTCGAGATTGAGTATATATTGAAAGATAATCATGAAGATTGTTTATTTGATCAAGTAGATAATACATTGAATATTATTAATATACCCATGAATTTACAAATATTTGATGAACAAATACAAATTGATAATAATTTTATTGAAACAAATTCAATTGAAATAATGAAATATTATAAATTAATTGATTCATATGATTTTAATACAAATCATTATACAATAATATTGAATAATATTCAACTTTTAAAAAATTTAGATTTTCAAAATTTTACTAATTTATATTCTTTAAGTATTAGTCATTGTGAATTAGATAAATTGCCAATATTTCATTGTAATAATCTAAAAAGATTAATTATAAGTCATAATAAATTAACTTCATTACAATCTTTAAATATTATGCCAAAGTTAAATGAACTTAATATTGATTATAATCTATTAACGTGTATATTTAATGTGATATCAACATTGATTATATGTACACCAAAATTAGAAAAATTATCATTTCGTGAAAATCCATGGATATTATTAGACAAATTAACACGTATTTATACATTAATAAATATACCAGATATTAAATATTTTAATATGCAATCAATTAATTATGAAGAGATTGAAATAGCTAAAAAATTATTTAATTCATGGAGAATAACATCAAAAATGATTGTTAATAATGTATACAATTGTATAACTACTATAAATGATATTACAATGAATAATAAATCAATTATTGATAATGAATTCTATGAAAATTTAACTATATTTCCTATAGCCTTTAATAATAAACAATTAAATACTACTACTATAAGTGATCAACAATATTTTACATTGATCAATTTCAATTTTATTACTTTTCTTTGTTTAAATTCATTAAATATTTTTAAAATTGAAAATTTTGAAAATTTAACACATTTAAAATATCTTTCATTGAATCATAATAATATAACAAAAATTGAAGGTTTAAATACTTGTTTAAATTTAATTGAATTATCAATTGAATATAATTTTATTCAATCAATAGAAAATATTAATCAATTAAAAAAACTTGAATGTTTATTATTAGGCAATAATTTAATCAAATTAATTAATCATTCACAATTTAAATCTTTACTTAAATTACGTGTACTCAATTTAACAAGTAATTATATTTCAAATTTAAATAATATTGATTGTTGTAACCAGTTAATTGAATTATATTTAGGAAATAATCAATTAATGAATATTCAAAATATTTTATATTTAAAAAAATTATCTAATTTAACTATTCTAGAATTATCTGGTAATCCAATAATTAATCAAATTAATAATTATCGATTATATATAATTTATTATTTAAAATCAATAAAAGCACTTGATGGAATTGAAGTTAATTCAATTGAATTAATACAATCTAAAGAATTATTCAATGGACGATTATCATATGAATATTTAATAGAATATTTAGAAAATGATAATTTTTCTAATCTTGTTCAATTGGATCTACCAAAGTGTATGCTTAAAACAATTGATTTTTTAGATCCATATCGATTAATAAATTTAAAAAGTATAAATTTAGAAAAAAATTATCTTACATCTTTTGGTGGATTAGTATTTTTATCCAATTTAAAAGTTATTTGTTTAAATGAAAATTATTTAGAAGGATTATTTTCTAAAAATATTTGTTCATTAGCTATGAATTATAATTATCAAATAACTGATTCTATTGAATCACGATTTATTAATTTATATCGATCAACTCAATCAATTTATCCATATTTAAAAGTATTACATTTAGCTCAAAATGGTATTCGATCTCTACAAGAATTTCAATTTCATCGTATGACATATCTTCAAACTTTATTCTTACAAAATAATCAATTGATTACAGTCAATGGGTTAGAAGGATTGAATCAACTCAAAGAATTAGTATTAGATAATAATCGAATTAAACTTATCAGTGAACTATCATTTTTGTACAATTGGACACTACAAGAAATTCATCTTGAAAATAATCATCTACGTGAATTAAATAATTTAAGTAAACTTGAGAATTTAAAACGTTTATATCTTGGTGCCAATAAACTGACTGATTTTAATGACCTTGAGAAATTTGCTCAAGGTCAACGGAATCTTTTTGAAATCTCATTAATTGATAATCCAATCGCTTCAAAACAAATTCATCGATTGATTTTGGTGCATAATATTCCAAACTGCAATATATTGATGGTATCCAGGTGACAGAAGAGGAAAGAGAGAAAATTATGTGTTTTTATGCAGATCGAGAATCAGTTGACTCAATGAACTGTGAATTAGTTCTCTCACTAGGCTGGAATAATCGGTATCCTGAGAAAGGAAATCATTCTGAAATCGCTCTGCCTGGATTAACTGCTCAGAAATCAGCCATATCCACTATAAAGGTAAATGATGCTTCATACTTCCCTACAAGTTCACTTCTTTTGAATGATTCTAAGGAACAGCATACTTTGTTTGCTCTTGGAAAGCATATTCCTCAAAACCTTGGTAATATCACTGATTGCCAGACAAACAGAACAAAGTCATACATGCTGTCAAGGTACAGTTTCTCTAATCAAGCAGGACAATTGGAGACTAATGAAAAGTCCGGTGCTTCTGTAAAAATTATTCGAAATTCAAATAACTTGGAGCCTGAAAACACCCGTCATTATCAACAGACATATTTAAAACTGCCGTATCAATGTTCAACGCCGAATATTTCCGGTCTAACGGTAAACTCCTATTCAAGACCACAAAGTAGAATAAGTAAGTTGTCTAAGGTTGGCAAAATGAAACTAGTTAGGGGTAACGTTGGCAGCAATATCGCAGCAAGTACTGCGACTACTACTACTACTACAATTACTAACAAAAGTGGTAATAAACTTTCTAAACTCGGTGCAATGTCAACAAAACTTAATCGTTAAATATGGTTTGTTGTTGTTTCACTGCATCACCAAGGTGCCTTCTTCATTTCGCGCAGTTTTCAAATTCCTTTTACATTTTCAACGTGTTAATGTCCAAAGGTATATTTTAACTATTTTTGTTATTGTAAAAAATTAAAGTAATGCAAAGAGAGAAAGAGAAAAAAGAAGGCAAAATTATTCAAAGTTTATTTTGTACAAATATATGTAATTTTAGATTAATTTTGAAGTTCTTTGTAACAAACTGAATCCTTGTTTCAACTTGATTGTTGATATTATTAATGGTGTAAATAAAGTGAAGTTGTTATTTGTTTGATTGATGCGCCAAATTTCTGCCTATCGATTATGGGCTGTTAGATAAGCAGCGTTCAACAAAGTTTGCTATACAACCAGTCACTTAAGGGATATGACACAGTTGCTGCAATTTAGCCAGTGAATAACTATCGGGGAAGTATTCATCTTACGCTTGATACTGGTAATCACTTAAAAGTAGAGGATTTTCGCCTTCTGAAGAGGAGTTTTGCATACATGTGAGTTGAAGTCAAATTCTCTACGAATTCAGCTGGAGTCTAACGTTGAACGCATAGCTGTGGCATCCTTTTGCTCGTATATTTCTCTGTCCCAATGAGTAGTCAGAGTAACGCGTAGGTGTACCGAAGTTGAAACCATTGAAATCAATAGTTGTATATATATACACACATTGAATAGAATGATTTCAAGCAGTGAGACTATTACGATAGTGCTGCTTAGAACGTAATGTCATCAAAGGAAGGAATATGGGCCTTTGGGCGACTAGACCAGAACAGAACAACACTTCATGAAGTCGCTACAACCTTCAGTCATCATTCAGTATCAATACATTTCTGTCAAACCACAGCTATCTCAGATAGTCAAACTGTTGATAAAACAAAAGACGTTTAGCGAAGAGTCACTCTTTTCAGTTATACTATTCTCAAGTTACACAATTATATACGACTATTCTATTCATGTGGTAACAGAAAAGGAATGTCCCACATTGTGGCTATTCTCTACTGTACCTTTAATCACTGCAATTTACGTCATATATTACATGCCTCTTTGACTGGTATTACTTGGTTCTTTTCTCTCATTCCTCCGATCGTCTTTATAACCACTGAATCTTCCATTCTGTCACAAATAAGTTATTAACAATTTCACATAATAGTTTGTGTCTCTTATCTCCTCGATACTTCTTTTTCTTGCACTGTTTTATTTCAAACAGTTTTCAGCTGACGAGGTGATGCAAAAGTTCGGTGAATTCATGTCTTTTATATGGATTGGAAGTGAACGACAGGAATCCATGGGACTAAGTTTCATGCTTGTTGGCACGCAGCTGTACAACATGTCTGCAATCTCTCTGAGCGATTCAATCGAGTACTCTCAGTACTGAAATCACAGATGCTAATACGGAGGGGAGGTGGTTGACATTTTGTAGAAGTGGACTGGATACACTGATCGGCTACTGCTGAGTAACTACTTTCATCATCGGGTTTAGTCCCATATTAAAGGCTTTTTGCTGATTGCCTTCAGTGATCTAGCATCAGTCAAAGTACAGTGCAATGCTTAGCCTACTAGTCTAGTGAAAGACATTACATACTGTTCGACATAATCTAGCCGGTGTTTTATACCTAACAACATGATATTGGTTACTCTTCAGTGACCAGTCAGTGAATTCATCATTTTTATTAATCAGGAATTGAATATTCTGTTAGAAAACTCTTCAAATTTACCAGAGACAGATGGGGATTGGAATCTCTGAGAGAACATGAATATACTGAAGAATACAGATACATTGTGCTGATGAGGGCTTACAGTCACGAAACTTGTTCAAAACGCCTTTTCCAAGTATTTGACACGGAGATCCTGTTATTGTTGATTCGATAGAAATTCTGTCAAATTATTTCGCCAATTCTTGTGATGGGTGAATAAAATATCTGCATAAGTTACTTTTTTTGTTTGTTCAGAGATCCGACTAGTTACCATAAAATTCACATAACGCTGAGCTATTCACTTTGTAAGTAGTATAATGGCGTAAGTTTGTTTGCAGATTATCAGAGTGGTCACATTATTAGCCTAATATTCTCCATTTGAATTATTTGATGGATAAACAACTTTTATTATTATTAATATTTGTCCATTGGGTTCCTAGTGGAACATAGGGATTCAGTAGCACGCCTCCATTGCACTCTGTTCTCTACAGTCTTTTCAGCCTAGTTCCACGACTGCCCACAAGCTTTCATTTCTTCCTCACACCATCTCCTCCATGTCAACCTCACCTCGGACGCCCAACTCGTTGTCTCCTATTTGGATTCCACTCTATGGCCTGGCCTGGCGTATGATGTCCCCAAGCCGTCTTCTCAGTGTATGTCTAATTTACTCCATCTCCACTTTCTTCTGGATATTTGTTGGGCGATGGGTTCCTGGTTGGTTCATTGCCAGCCAGCCAGAGTTCCTTGTTCCTTATTCTTGTTATTCTGGCCATCTGATCTTCAGTGTCAGTATCGAGTGAGCGTAGGCGAAGGCTGTTCCCGTGATGTATGTCTGTAGTTTGTTAGAAATGGTTTTCTTAGCGTGCCAAGTTTCTGAACTAACACAAGGAAGCACTGACTTACTTGACTGAATTAGTGTTGAAACTTCGGATGTTGTTCACGCTTTATGCTGAGTGCAGTCCAGTCCATTCCAGTAGATCTTCACACTGATTTCAGATTGACGAAGGCCTGTCCTGCAGTCTTTCCGATCCTGGTTTTGACGTGCTCATCTGTGCTGCCACCACTGCCTGTAGTTGAAACGATGCTTTCCTGCCTTGGTAGGTAGGTGAAAGGGACAACTTCCTTTAGGTTTCTCCCGTTCATGGTGATTGGTGCTTGTTGTTGTTGTCGTTGCTGTTTGTTGGGTATCTTCATCACCTCTGTCTATTCCAAATTCGCTTGAAGTGCCGTTTTCCTTCGCTGCCCTACCTCTCCTGTCAACTTTTTGGTTTTTGCCTGTAGATCTTCGAGTTTGTGCGGCAAGACATTATACATAAGTCATCATCGGCGAAATCCAAATCTTCTTCTGAGGTCTTTTCATCTGTCCAGCCAGCGTATGCCCCTCTTCTCACAGCTCCTCACAGTTTCTTGCATGATCCAGTTCAGTCCAGTCAACCACAATCAGGAAGATGATTGGTGATAGTTGGCAGCCTTGTCTTACTCCTTCTTGTCTTCACTTCAAAGGCGTCACTGAGATTCCCATTGTGAATCACTTGGCAGTCAGCAGCATAATACAGTACATAGGTGCTGTTGAATGAGGTTGATGAAAGTTTGTGGCACTGAAACCGTAGTGTTCAAGAATCAGTTGCCAAATTACTTCTCGATCGACGCTATCGAAGGCCTTTTCAAAAGCGATGAAGTTGAGGTAAAGATCCAGTTGACTGCCATTCTACGCTCTGTTCCATGATGCTGCGTAGCGTAGCATTGCAATTTGATCCACACATGATTTGTCATTCCTGAAGGCAGCCGGCCAGCCTGTTCCGGTCATAATTTTGAATTCAGCGCATTTCCTAGTCTCCAGGATGATGCAGCTTGATATTTTGCATGGGGTCGACAGGGGTGGAGGATGATTCCACACCAGTTCTTGCCAAGACTTAGGTCTCTTTTCTGTGGGAGTTTGAGAAGGTAGCCCTTCTTCCAATCAATCGGCAGATACCTTTCCTTCCTTCCAAACGTTTTGCAGTAGTGGTGTGAGCGTGTCCACTGTTGTCTCTGGGTCTGTTTTCAGTGCTTCTGGAGGAATTCAATCTGATGATGAGCATTTAATCAATTTTGGTACCATTTTATGTCTGCTAAATGAGTGGACGCTTTTCACATTGAAAGGTGATTCTACTGATCATTTATGCTAGATTTCTATATCCTCCCAATAAGATAGGGTGTGGATTTCGTGTAAACAGTTGATTTTCATGAATAATCTTCACTTGTTGGTCTATTCAATGGGACTTATTATTTTTCTTTGGATAGCATTGATCCGTTTCATACTTATATACCAGTGAGTCACCGTAAACAGACTTTAAAAAGCGAGGTTTATTTTGATGACTGATGAAAGTCGAAGATTTTTTGTGTGACAGTGAACCTCCTCTTGTTACCTCTGACTACCAACCAATACACCGTCAAGTTGACTTTGCAAACACTGCGGTCGATAAGATCTACATGCACAAGATCTGTGGTGTGGGTCTGCCATTCACAAACAGCTTTTTAGACTTTAGGATTCCGCCCAATGTACTGGAAGTAGTGCAGCCAAAAGGTAAATTGAATCCATATTTTTTTTATTCTCTTAGTCATTGTTATTGGCGATTGATATCCCATCCGGAATGCCTTTATTGTTTGCATTAGCCTTGATTGTATTGGATTAGCCTGAAAGAAGCCACTGCAGTGAATTTCCAGGCATTACAGTTTCAGGAGCCACATTTCTTAGACGAATGTCTCCTCGAAAAGGTGAGATGCGTTTGGGTTTGAAAGATTGTTCAGACTTCGTTGAAACGTATCCCACGCACACCTGCCTATAACAGGGTGAGTACATACAACAAACCGATAATCTCATTGGGCCCTGGTCGTACTTCTTAATTTTCCCCAAATAGAGTGGTTTTTAGGATAACGGTTGGTTGGTCTGTAGGTAGCTTTAATGACGAACTGAATTCTTGGGAGTTCACTGGGTGCAGGATAACCAGGTGAGAACTTATCGGTAATGTGGCATGAACCTTACGTAGGATGGAAGCTAGAATCTGCTGGTTTCATGATGAACGTGTTAGCTTCGAGTCGATGATGAGAACTATCTTCGAATGGATAAGTTCCTCACCAGCGACCTCTCAGTACTAGATTACTTTATAATGGATAGCTCCAAGTTTTAATGAAAAGTGATGGTTAGTGTCACGGGATCAAATCAAGAATAAAGATGTGCGTTAGTTATTAACAGTGAGTAGTTAACCTCTTATATGGCGAATCGATCCAGGCTAG